TCATTATTACTGGATGTCCTTTCTATGTCATTTAGTCTAGATTTTAGGTATGATATTTTCTGAAGTAAAATTAATGGAAAACCGGTTAAACTTGTGCAAGTCCATGAAAAAGCAATCACAGAGTCCGGAGATCAAATATGTTGGACAGTACGATCGAGATGAGAATAAATGATAGGAAATGCCTGAATGCGTGTATGAAGTATACTAAGTGACATATAAATCCGAACACCCACTTTAAATGGTTTTATTTTAATAAAAGTTGGTGAATGTATTTATCTTACTGTAAATAACAAGTGAAAAAATTTCCAGCCTTATCAGTTGGACATTCCAGTTTTTATACTGCTTTTTTTTAATTCACTAACGCTCTAAAAATGAATATTTCAGCCGCAGTAAAGAATCAACGTTGGCGGATTTTGGTTCTTGACATCCTTTACGATCGGTTACGATGTCTAGAGTACGGAGACCTGTACGATTTCGTCAACTTAGTGAGTTTGATAGGGGCCGTATAGTGGGACTTCGGGAAGCTGGACTTTCTTTTCGGGCCATTGCAGTTAGAGTGCAAAGAAGTGTAGACACTGTGGTTAGGTGTTGTCAGGCATGGCTTCGAGAAGGCCGTACGCAAAGAGCAAGGGGCACTGGACGCCGCCGTAGAACAACAGACCGTGAAGATCGCCGCCTAAGATTATTGGCCTTAAGGGACCGTTTCTCCACTACCAGGTCCATTGCAAATGAATGGTTTGCAGAACACGGAAGACCTATTGGCATGCGAAGTGTTTACCGACGAATGAGAAGTTTTGCCTTGTTTTCATACCGGCCACACTGGGTCCTCCCTTTAACTCGAGAACACCGACGTAATCGCCTTGAGTGGTGCAGACAACGATCACTCTGGGATCAGGAATGGAACAGTATTGTCTTTAGTGACGAGTCTCGATTTTGTTTAGGCATGCACGATGGTCGTGCCAGGGTTAGAAGGCGACGTGGTGAAAGGAGGAATCCACAGTTTTTTGTTGAAAGACATGTTCATCACACTGTTGGAGTTATGGTTTGGGGTGCTATAGCTTATGGTTCCAGGTCACCTTTAATCTTCATCAGAGGTAACATGAACGCGCAGCGTTATATCCACGAAGTTCTAGAACCCCATCTTTTACCCTATCTTGACACCCTGGCAGATCCAACTTTCCAACAAGATAATGCCCGACCACATGTTGCAAGAGTCACAATAGACTTCTTTCAACACAATGATGTCACATTGTTACCATGGCCACCAAGATCTCCCGACTTATCCCCAATTGAGCACGTGTGGGATATGATGGGTAGGAGATTGCTCAATTTGCAACGTCCTCCTCAGACTCTAGAAGCACTTCGAGAGGAGTTGGTGGTTGCCTGAAATGAGATACCACAGGAGGACATTAACCTCCTGATCAGAAGCATGCCTAGGCGCGTTGGAGAATGCGTAGCACATCAGGGTGCATCCACACATTATTAAAGGTCAAAGGGCTTTAAAGCAGTGCAATCATTTTGAAATTTTTATCATTTACTTATTATGCTTCATTAAGTACTTATACAAAATTTTATTAAAATAAAACCACTTAAACTGGGTGTTCGGATTTATATGTCACTTAGTATATTACGGAGACATCCTGGCGTAATATCACGCACACTGGACCGTGACCGCTATAATCACATATTAATGTTTGCATTACAAACAAAAAATAGTCATCATATTTCTAGGGAACGTTAAACATAATATGGGAATTTCATGAAACATACTAAAAAGCTTCTTATCCAAAAAAAGTCAATATCTTATATGAAAAGTTTTTTCGTTCCTGTCAGCACTTTCGATTTAGTCCCAAAAGACACGTTTTAAATACCCCCTTGAACCACTTGCAGCAATAAAACCAGACTTTACAATTATTTCGCAAACCAGCGGTATTTTCGTCTAATATGATTAGATTACTAAGAGAATTGCTGCGATTTTACGTGGAGCTGGAAATTGTATGCGAACAGATAACTTTTTGTAAAAGTGTACCTGCCTCTAAAGCTGTTTCAAGAGCGGGGGATAGCAAATTTTCTCAGGAAGGGGGCAAATGTACACAAAATCATGCTAAGTAGGCAGATTTTATGGTTCTAGCGGATTCTCAGGAGGCCACGTCCTCCTCCTAAAACCCCCTGCGGTTACTTATGCAGAGATCCCCAAACTTTTTTGTGTCGTAGACCCCTTGCCATGTTTTTCCGTGTTGACTAGACCCCCTACTTACCTGATATTGATTTCCTGTACATTTCTAACTGTAGTAAAAAAACTTAAAGTAAAAACACATGTTAATTTATACATTTATTAATTGAATTTAAATTAAAACTACTCAAAATAAAATTTTGTATCTGTTATGTAAAATATACGTAACATTAAATAAACAGGTGTCTGAACAATAAGTGCCCGCATTGGGAATAAGTGCCCGCATTGAAAAAAAATAAGAGGGGTCAAATAAAAAAAAAGTGAAAAATAATAAAAAAAAGTTTTTTACTTAAAATAGTACAATAAGCGAGTTCGTTTATTAATTATAACATAAACGTATGTTCTACAATAATTTCACTGTTAGTTTGATTAAATTCCGCTTCTTATACGTTTAAGTTATCTAAAAATAGGCAAAAAATTAACGAATTTTACTGTGTACCTATCCTTGAATTTTCAGAATAATTTAAAAAAAATATGTTCTATAAAGGGGGGTTCTTTGGTTCTTTAAAAAAATCAATGCGGGCACTTATTCCCAATGCGGGCATTTATTGGTCAGGCACCAATAAACATAAAATAAACTATAAATAAAATAACATAAGCAATAAGTCAATATTTTTAGTGAGAAGGATGAACCTGATGCTTTAATAATAAATTATCAACATTTGGCGTCAATTTTATAACGGTTAATCTTAAATCTCCTCGGCTAATGATGTCCAGTCTGTTTCTATTTTTCGTTAGGAGATTGGTAACAGCGCTGAACCCCCTTTCCACTAGGTATGACGATGGAAAGGAAATTAAAAGTATCCTCGCTATATTCCACAATATGGGATAAGTAACGGGTATGTTGTTTTGCAGCCAGAATTGCTGATATCCGTTTTTAAACTGAACCTTAAGTTCTTCGTTTGTACTTAGTTCAGTCAGTTCCTCTTGTATTATGACATTCGTTTCTTCTATGTCACCATATGGATTAATTATCCACGGTGGTATTACCATAGTCAAAATATCCTCAAACCTAGATTCAAAATCTGAATAGAGGGCATTTAAATGTTGAACGTAAATTGAAACATCGTCTTCCTGGCAGCTTGTCTGTGACAAATTGGGGAACTGAGAAAATTCGCCCCGTCCTTTATTTTGCTTCATTAGTTTAACTCTGGCAAGAAACGCTGATAAAATGGAATTTCTTTTAATCAAATTCAAACTGTCGCCTTGATGAATTAACCATATTAAATTTTGTAAACAAATCTGTTAAATAGGCGATGTCTGTTTTCCTCTGCATTAAATTTTCTTTTAAAATTTTATCTTTAGTGTCCAGAAATTCTAAAATAGTCTCAAAAAGTGCAAAAAATCTTGTCAAACATAAGCCTTTCGACAGCCAGCGTACTTCAGTGTGAAGGAGTAATTGATGAAAGTGTTCGTCATTTTCTTCACACAACTGCGCATTCAACACGTTGCTTCGGATTCGGTTTACTGCATCAATGACTAAATGAAGTGATTCATGCAATCTAACACTCAAATTTTTAACAACTAAATGTTGTCGATGGATGACGCAATGTATTGCTAACACCCCTGACATTTTGTTTTAAATAGCTTATAAATCCACGATAACGTCCAACCATGGCAGGTGCTCCATCTGTAGCTACTGATATTATATTTGATAAAGGAATTGCTTTTTCAATGAAGTAATCCTTCAAAACATGAAATATTGATTCACCTTTAGTGTCGGTTATCAAAGTTCTTGCGAAGAGCAGTTCTTCGTAGATTTCTTGATTCATAATAAAACGAACATATGCCAATAATAATGCTGCATTATCAGCTAAGGTTGACTCGTCCAGTTGTATAGAGAAATGGGTCGTTTGCAAATAATTACATAAGAAACTTTCAATATCAGAACTCATTTCATCAATACGTCATTCAACAGTATTGTTGCTTAAGGGAATTCTTTTAATGATACCAGATGCAGGTTTGTGTAAAACAGTTTTTACAACCTCTTCAACGGCTGGCAAAAGTCATGATTGGCGTAATTTATCTATCTTTGCTAACTACAAATACAAAACTAAAATTTAATAAAAAATAATGTACTTACTTTTCTCCAGCACTCTCAAACAAAATAACACTGACTCACTATAATTTGTGTGATATACTATCTGTTTATATTTTTTAAAATATTTTCTAAGCACTTTCCTTTTCAAGATTCAGGAAACGAATAAACGTATTTGTCCCACATTCGTATTTATAGAGCGACGAATTGAACAAGTGCAAGGTAGCGAAGCTCTGAGACTGCGACTCTCAGGTTTTTACAAGTTCAAAATGTATTGCGACCACAAAGCGAATACCAACATCCTACAACTTACACAATTTTATAAACATATGTAATAAATTTTTTACTTCATAGGTACTTTTATAAATAATGTATATGTTTTGATATTATAAGATAGTATGATGTAAGTAAATAGGTACTATCAGTGTATGTGTTGAGATGCACTATCGTCGACCCCCATATTCATTTCATGGACCCCCAAATTTTTTTTTCGCTGACGTAGACCCCTTGCAGGTTGTCATAGACCCCTAGGGGTCGATATAGACCACTTTGGGAATCAATGCAATAGAGCATAGAGTTGGGCATTTTCCTGGAAGTTACGTGAATCATTGCTACTATGAGTAACAAAAAAGGCCTAGTTCAGTTCAGAAACCCCAAAGCATGCAGACGTTTGAGAGGGGTCATCGACGTCGAGCTCCGAATTTTGCCTAGTACATAATATTTACATACCTTTCTCCACGATCGGCATCATACACGCGTTTAACCATGTCTGCAAAGGATTCCTGTCTCAGTGTAGCCTTGTCACTGTTTCCCAATATCCATGTTGTATCAAGTTGCTTCACATTCTTCCTTACCCAATAAGTGAAGCGGCGATGCAGATACAAGCAAATACACAAAATAACAGTCACTGCTGCTACCAATAGCCCAATCATTTTGGTAATGCTGAAAATGATGAAGGATTTCTCAAGTGCATATTTGTTTTTCATTACAGTATAGTGAAACTGGCGACAGAATAATAGGGATATGTGAAAATATTATTACCGCTCGAAACTTGAGCGGTTGATTTAACACCTGAAACTTATGCAATGATTTTAATGCTCATAAGACTCCATTGTCTGGCCGAATCCAACCACATCAATGTTTTAATTTCTATTTATTGTACGACGTTTCGGCCACCATGCCTACCTTCAGCAGCAATGAAAGTTTGACGTCTTAAAAGCGATCGGATTATCAGACGGGCGAATCTCCCATTATTAACAAATTCAGCTGCTTCCGTTATTCTGTTCCGCAGCTCAACTAAATTTTCTATTGGCTTTGAGTAAACTTTTTATTTCACCGCTATTCAGTAAAAAAAATGAGTGGATTTAGGTCAGGTGAACGGCCTGGCCACGAGATTGTATCAGACCGCCATATCCATCTGCTCCCGGTATTCCACATCAAGATATTCTATAACTGAACGGGTATAGTGGCTTGCCAAGCAGCAGTCTTGCTGGCCACATGTCTCTGTGAATGTAAATTTGGTAAATGATTTTTCAAAAAGTCTGAATAAATTTCGCCATTCAAGAACTCTAGCAGCTCAAAGGGTAAAATGATTATCCCATTTAGAATCCCTCTGAGAGTGAACGGTGCACATTCACAAAAACTCGGTGATCCGGATCACGAGCGGTATTTGAGTACCTAGTAGTAGTAGTAGAAAGATTTATTTAGCACATTTGGCTACATAAACAGAACAATTGTAAACAACTTAGAACTAGTAAATTCAAGCCATATGGTGTATGATGTAAATGCTGGGCAACCTATAATTGTAGATTTAACAAGTGATTTCTCAGTTTTACTTTAAATTTTGTCAAAGTTTTCTGGTCTTTTATCTCCGAGTATAATTTATTATATTCAATCAACCCTTGATGGAATATGTACAGATTTGTAGCATATGTTATACTTTTTGGTCATTAAATGGAAGTCATCTTTATTTCTGGTATTATGTAAATGATGGTCGACATTTGATGATGTTAAATTAGTTAGACTTGATGGAAATATATTATTTTTTACTTTATAAATGAATATCATTACAAGATATTTGATAAAGTTTTTTACATTGAGCCATTTTAATTTGCTAAGCATTTGCCTTAGTGGAGTATATTTATCTTTATTTAGTATTATTCTCATGCACTTATTTTGTAAAATTTGCAGTCTTTCAAAAATAGAATAGTCGAACAGTACAAGAAATTTGGAAGAATGATGGTATTATAGATAATTTTTCTGCTATATGAACTCAGACATCCAGAAACTCTCGATAAATATCCCACTTTACTACTAATCTTATTTATAACTTTTTCATAATGAATATCAAAAATTAATCGAGAGTCAACAAAAACTCCCAGGTATTTAAAATTTTCTACGAATTCAATATCTTCACCATCAATATTCAGTTGAACATTTGTACATTGTTTTTTTCCGATTAACAAGGCTTTCGTTTTACTTGCATTTAATTTTAGTCTGTTAGATGCTAACCATTTTGAGACAAGCTTCAAGTCTTCATTTATATAAGAGATACCAGACTGAATATTTTTAGTACTTATATAAATCATAGTGTCATCGGCGAAAATTTGAATTTTGCATTTTTTGACTATGGCAGGTAAATCATTTATGTATAAAATAAAAAGAAGTGGTCCCAGGATACTGCCCTGTGGAACACCCAACGTATTTTCAATTTTTGATGAAATAGTGTCATTAACTTTTGTAACTTGCATCCTTTTAGACAAATAATTTCTAAACCAATCTAAAACACTTCCTGTTATACCATATGCCTTCAATTTACCTAACAAAATATCTCTATCAATCGTTTCAAATGCCCTCTTCAAATCCAAAAATACTGCTATGACAACTTCTTCTGAGTCTATGGCTCTTCTCCAATTCTCAGTTACCAACTGGAATGCTGTTTCTGTGGAATATTTTTTTCGAAAGCCTGCTTGCGCCTCCACTAAAATTTTGTTTTCTCCTATAAACTGCATTAATTGGTCATGCACTATGGACTCTAATAATTTTTCAATGTCTGGTAACATATTTACTGGTCTCATATCGCTGCATCTTTTAGAATTTTTTATTTTGGGAACTGGTGTTATTGTAGAGCATTTTAAATTTTCAGGAAAAGAACTGCTTCTCAGTGAACAATTGATCCAATTTAATACAGGATATCCCAAAATTTCGAAACAGTTTTTCAGCACGTTTTTAGTAGTCATTTCGGCACAGTTGTTATTTGATTTTAAACCTGTCACGATAAATCCTAGCTGCAGCACTAGCATTGCATCTCAATCCCCATAAATGCGGTGTATGTTGGCGGATTCCTGTACAATGTACACAGACATGGTATCACTACACAATCATGAATTAATAAAAGTGTCGTTACTATTTGTCTTACTGAATGACACTGTCTGTCACTGAATCAATCACTCAAGAAAAAAATGAAATTTGTAATAATGTAAACTAAAGATCATCACAGGGGGTAGATGTTTCCCATTCTTCCATTTTTTCAACGCCTATAATTTGAAAAGTATACGACGATATTTTTATATTTTTCTGATAACTATTTTGACTTGTTCTATCCCCCGTTTCCGGTTTGACGTCGACTTCTTGGTATGTTCCTTGAATGAAGTCCTCTGAGCGGTTGATTTAATAAGATGGTGCAAAGACAAAAATTCGATGGACACATGAAGTGTCGTTGAATTACAACCTTTACGACTTCGGTCTCTTGGAGCAAACAAGAAGAAATTGTACGGTTTTTGTTCAATACGTTACGTTTCTAGTACTGTACTGAGTACCTTAAAATTGTTACTCAGATTTAACATTTTTCTAGAAATTACAGTTTAGTACTTGGGAAGAACATTGAATCCAAAAAAAATAACAACAGGGTGAAATTTGGCATGGTGGTAGGTAATAATAATACTAAGAAAAGTACTCAATTCTCAACCCGCATGAAGCAGGTGATGTTCTAAAAATATTAAAATGCAAAATTATTCATATTTACTGGCAGCTCAGTTATTTTTTTGAAAAACGCTCAGACCCGTCGATTTAAATTCATTAAATATTTCTGCTGTTCTATTAGCGCACTGATTATTTCCGAAAAATATTTCGATAATTTCAACTCTTTCTGCTGTGGAATATACCATGGTTAATTTATGTAATAAAGCGTTACAAGTTATTTTAGCAACAAAGTTTGGTCAAATCAATCGCTAACTATGTACTAAATTCCTATTTAAAATAAGTACGAGATATTTCCTTATTTTTCTTCAAGAAATAACTTTTTTTCCACAAAAAAACGCTCCAAGAGCTGTTTTCAACAACAAAATTATAAACAAACCATGGGCGTAGTGAAGAAAAGCATTTACTTATTAAGTAAATTCTTTTAGTCTAATTTCTTGTAAAAGTAGTACAAACTAATCTGATGTACCCATTAAAGTCTACTTTAAGCTTTAAATCAATAAATCTTCAAAACTACTGAAGTAAAGCTCATGTACTTTACATGATTATAAAGGGAATTGAAAGACCTTTAAAATAAGGTATCACTCGACCCCCCTTTCCATTTAAGATTTTAGGTTTGGTGTCACCCCCGCCCAGGGGGTTGCACGCGTTAACGTGATTTTTTTGTCAAACTTCTGTTCCCCTCGAAAACAAAATCGACGGGTCTGAGTGTTTTTCCAAAAAAAACTGAGCTGCCAGTAAATGCGTCTGTTTCGTTTTCGATGCGCCACCCTGTATATGGAGATATTCATAAATATGTACAGGTAGAATGAATGCAGAGGGAAAAAAGTCGCACCAACCTATAATTTTTGCATGCTATAATTTTTCAAAGCTTCTTTTTCAAAGTATAGCAAAATTAGTGGAGAACCAACATTTTTTTACACAGAAATACAAAGTTTTCAAGGAAAGGCTTTTATTCTACAGGGTCATAGGAAACTAAAATCTTGTGGAAGTATAGAAGAAGTTGAACAAATCTGTAGCATTGTAGACTTATTAAAAAGGAAATTACATTTTTATTATACAGCGTTCTTTGGTGCGTATTTACATGCCGTTGAGAAACTTGTAAAAATTTCACGGCTTACTGAGATATTTTGGCCAAACTAAAATCTGGCCAAATGTTTTAATTTCTTTCTAACTTTAGTTTAAGGAAAAACAAAAACTAATGGAACTTTTTCATTGGCACGTTTCGTTTTTGAGAAACCGTCATCAACTTTAGTTGTTTATATGGTCCGAAAACAGTACACCCTGAATTTGATATACATTTTTCTACGATTTCAACGATGTACATATATATATATATATATTTTCTTTATATATATACAGGGTGTCCCAGAAGTCGACGTCAAGCCGAAACAGTTATCAGAAAAATATTTAAAAAAATTTTATGTATGTGTTTTGAAAATTATAGGTCTTTGAAAAAAATATAGAAATTTCACACCCTACGGCAGTCTGTCAACTCCTGTTACTACAAATATTAACTTTTTTTGGATTTTATTTTTACAATGTAATGATGAATAATGCATCTTCAAACTGGTGTCTCAACCTTACTGCCAACTTTTCTCGTTCAGGAAAAATTGCCACTTATTTCCCAACCAAGTATTCCAAAGTAAAACTTTGCTCAACTTTAACTGGCTGTACTGGAAAAAAATGTACTACGAGAGTTTGGCAAGTAACCTTAAAAGTTGGCGCATTTAATAACGGTTATTAACAAACTCAGCTGCTTCCAATAGTCTTCGCCGTAGCTCAGCTACATTTTGAATCGGCTTGAAATACACTTTTTCTTTTCCATTAAAAAAATCTAACGGATTCAAATCTGGTGACCGGGCTGGCCACGGTATTGTTCCAGACCGCCCTATCCATCTGCCTGGAAAGTTTTGATCGAGATACTCTCTCACTGAGAGTGCATAGTGCGCTGGGCAGCCATCATGCTGAAACCACATGTCCCTGTAAATACTCAGTGGCACGTCCTCCAATAAATTTTATAAACGATTTTGCAAAAAACCTAAATAAACCTCAGCAGTCAAAGTCTCTGGGAACTCAAACGGACCGATTATTTTACCATTTAAAATTCCTGTCCAATGGTTTATCTTGAAGCGATATTGAGATTTATCTTCTCTCATCAAATGTGGGTTTGCTACGTGCCACTCGTGTAAGTTATGCAGGTTCATGTACCCATCTTTCTTAGATGTCGTCTCATCTGACCGTAAAATTTTTTCAAAGAACCGTGGATCTTCCCTGTGTCTTTCTAACATTGTGCGACAAAAAGCAACTCGGGGCTCATAATCCCGGGGCAGAAGAGCTTGAACACGCTGCACGTGGTATGGATGGAGCACGTTTTTTGCAAGATTCTATGGGCTGTACTTTTGGGCACACCTGTTTTTAGTTCTATTG